TGTGGGGGGGGGGGGGGATTGATTGAGAAAGAAGAGAAATTTGTTATAAAATCCTAAGTATAACTAAGAATCATAATTCTTTTAAACTATAATTATGTATATTAAATATATAACACATATTTGCCATAATTAACCTTTTAGTTTCCTATTATCCGTCATGATAAATTTTATACCCTACAAATATTATGATATATTTAACATTATAAATTTAAGACTTTAATCTCTTTTTTAAACTATATCATATAAATAAAATAAAATAAAGTAAACCCAAATATACTCAAAATTAGTTAACATAGAATCTTTCTTTTTATTGGCTCCTCTCGAATCAATGACTATTTCAATCCGTATTGAACCTATCGATATATTAATAATCAAGTCTTCAATCAATTGGTGGAGAGCATTAACCAATATCGTATAATAATACATATATATCCAATTCAATCTTGTCTATTCAAACCACATCAAAAACATGTGATACAAATATGTAGAGGATAATATTTTGTACAAGCTCTTCATATCTAATTAGAATCTATGGGTAAAACAAATACTCCTACTGTTTCAAATTAGTTGTACACTTTATTTTTTACATATTTCTTGAGAAAACATAAATAAGAAGGATTATTTTACTAATCGACCACTTAAGAAATTTTTTGAGTTTGCTTTGCACATATTTATTTCATTTAGGACTACTATTGTTATTTTCCTCGAATTATATATTTATTAAACACAAAAAAAATTATTCTCTCCTAATTGACATGTCATGTCACACTAAATTTTACTTTTTTAGTTAATAAAATTACTTAACTCTTCAAACTATTTAACTCAATCCACATAATATTGACATCTTAGAATAAATAATTCAGAAAGTATTGATTAGATTAAACTTTACAGATGAAATTATAAAACAAAGATAATTTAAAAAGATTTAAATATAATAAGTAAAAAAAATAAAATTGTAAAGATTCATCAAACTCATCCAATCCGTGTAATATTGTCATCTAAGAACAAAAATAATTCAAAAAGTAATGATTAAATTAAACTTTACCCGAAATTGTAAAATAAAGATAATAAAAAAAGATTTAAAATCTAAGAATATTATAATAACGTAAAGATTAAAATTTATATTGACTATTCCTAAAGTCATATAAATATCTTAACCTAAATATCTATCTTAGTTGGGGATCATATTCTTTTTTTTTCACCTTTTTCCTATTTATCGTACATTAAAAAAATCTACTATCATAATTCATATCTTCTCAATTTTTACTTAGGTGTTAATTCATCATAAAATTAAAAATAATATTCACTTTTTTGAAATATTCTCTTACTTTATATGAAAATCGTGTTTGATCATTAAAAATTAAATTCAACTTAAAATTATATTTTAAATTTGAAAAAAACAGCTTAGAATAGAATATTCAATGATTAGAATAGAATATCATAATGAAATGCACCTAACTTGTTTTCAACTTACTTTTCAGTTTTGAATTTGTATTTAAGTACATTCAAATATGAAAATTTCTAAATATTCATTGAAAAATATATAACCAAAACAGAGGTAAGATAGTAATCCAAAAAATTAATAGGGGATTTGATCATCTTATAATTTTAAATAATTTAAAACTATTTTCCTCATTTTAATGATTGAAGTTCTTTTTCACCAGAAAAAAAAAATGAAGATCACATTGTTTGACACTTTGACTAGAGGTGTCAGTTGCTCACATAATCTTATCACTAAACTGTAACTAATCAATTAATGTATTTTTTTCACCTTAGTCGATGACTTAATTAAATTAAATTATTATGATTGGTATAAACACGAGTGCTAAGTAAACTTTTACCTAGTAAACACATTATATCGACTAAATCGAGTTATAATATGAATTTGATGAGTTAAATAAATTAATTTTTAAACATAAGAGTTTAATTTAATATGGTATATATACCAATTAATAGAAAAGGATGTTTTCGTTTTGGTGATATTTAGTATATTTTGAGAAAAATACTACTAATAACTGAGTGATATTATAGTCTTTAAAAAACATTGGTGATGTTTTGAGAATTAACTCCAATGTTTTTTTGGAATTTTACAAATTTATTTACAATTAAAAAATAAATAATTATAAGGATAAATATTTTAACATGATTCTATCTTAATTATTTAAATTAATAAATAATTTGAAATAACTATTTTTTTAGTAAAATAAACAATTAATATGAGACGGGGAGCTACTAAGTTCATCCGAACATTTAATTCTCACCAACTTCTTGTCCCAACCTTTATGATATGTTGTAATCACGTTTTAAATAGTTATATATCATCGCTTTCACATGCATACATAATTGAATTATTACTCTATATAAAGAATAGAAATTTAGCCAATTTATCACCATCTAATTTTCATTTTTTTGCTATATCGAAGAAAAAAAATGGGTCTGAAAGGCAAGTTGATTGGTTCGATAGAGGTTAAGTGTGGAGGACACTTGATTCATGATATTTTGCACGCCGATCCTCGAAATGTACCCAACATAACCAAGATTAATCATTTTGAGATGGATCATGAAGGTGAAAGCATAAAGATTGGCTCGATAGTTAGTTGGACATATAACGACGGTAACATACTATGATTCCCTTGCATCAATATAATTTCTATATTTAGGTATATTTGGCATATATGAATTCATTTACCAAGAAAATGTATTTCAAAAATAAATTATTTGATGTTATTTGGTAGTAACAATAAAATATATTTTTTGTAAAATATTTTTGCACCAAAAGGGAAAAAAACTTCATTCACTTGTGAGCAAAAAATATTTTCTTGCTGGTATTTAAGCTTTCTTGAATATTGATATCTTTTTATGAGGAAATGACTTTGATATTTTATTTTGTTTAATGTTTATAGACGGATCCGAAAAAGATAAAATTGTTAAGGAAGTGATTGAGGCAATTGATCCTGAGGAGAAATCGATCACTTGGAAGGTAATTGGAGGAGATTTGCTAGAGTTGTATGATTCTCTTACTATTATCACAGCATGCGAACATGAGTGGACTACATGTTCATTTATATATGAGAAAAAAACTGAAGACACCCCAGAACCTCTTGTTCCATTTGGTTTCCTCCTTAATTTGATCAAGGAAATGGAGGGTCATCTTCTCAAATAATACAAGATCAATCTGGTATCTGATAGTTCTTATCGTTACGTATTTGTGTATGTCTACGTGAACACGCGTGTGAATTTATGAATATATATATATATATATGTGTGTGTGTGAGAGAGAGAGAGAGAGAGAGTTTGTGTTACAAATATATACTATATATGTGTGTGTGTGTGTGAAGTTTGTGTTACAAATATATACTATATTTTGTAATATTGGCTAATTCTAGCTAGTGTGTCAAAATTAGTAATGTTGTGTTAAAAATAAAGAATATATCGGATGTATTGTACGATATATTATGTATCTTTTCGAGTATGTAATGAACTATAATAGCATATGCAAATTGTATTTGTAAATGTGCTATCTAATTCCTTTTCGGCATATATTTATATATTTATTTATTTTTCGTTTCTCTAGTTCTAAGAAAGGAATTAACACTCACAAAAAGTTTTTTATGCAAAATTGATCAATAGTCGCCCAAATTTATTTAGGATGTGTTTGATAAGGAATATTTTCTTAGAGAATAAGTAAGTTTTTTTTTTTGTTTTTTTAATATTTGATAATAAATAAATAAAATTATAACTTTAATATAATTCAGGAAAACATTATGATGGCGGGGTAGGAGTGGGAAGATGGGGTGGTGGGGGTAGTCAAGGAGTGGAGTAGCAAAGGGGTAGGGGTTGGGGCTTTGTTTGGGATTGGGAGGAGATAATAAGCTTTGATATATTATTAATGGAACTTGTATTTTTGCCTACGTATTAGGGGAGTCATTTTTTTAACTTTTTAAATCTTAGTATTGTTGAGTATTGGTGAGGTTGTGAGAATTGTACAACTAGAGAGTTTATTTTCGTTGAGAGTAAAATACTTAGTGTTGAGTTGAGATACAAAAGTTAATTTCTTAGATTGTAAAGTTATAATATGAAATTGCTTATTATAGTTAGTAAAATATAATAAGACCCAAGATCACTTCCCTTATTTACCATCATTGAAAATTAAATCATAAAGATAGATATAAATGATGTGTGCGGGAATGAGAGACCAATGGCCACAAGTGCTACATTGACACACATTAAAATAAGGGGAAAAGGGTCTGATATATCCCTCAACTTTGTTATTTAGAGCTAATATACCCCTCGTTATAAAAGTGGCTCATATATACCCCTACTATTATACAAATGGCTCATATATACCCTTTTCCTCTAACAGAACTGAAAAAATTAATTTTAGTTTAAATTTTTGAATTATTTTTAAATAATATAATCCCATATGGGTATATTTAATCTTCCTCAAACATATATTATTATTTTTAACCTTTTTTTGTTTCAATGACTAATTTAGATTTATTATTTTGATGGTCAAATTTATTTAAGTTTGAGAAAATGGTCTAAAACCCCCCCACCCTATACCCGAAATTCCAACTACACACTCTAACTTTACGAGTGTCCTATTACCCACCTAAATTTTATATTTCTCTATTTTATACACACCTAAGTGCTGACCTCAACACATAAACCAAATAATTATGCCTGTGTGATTCCACGCGCTGGGTCCCCCGCCTCTTCAACTCCCATTTCTTGTTTTTCCTCCATTTCCCTCCTAAAACGTAAAAGAACAAAAAAAATCCTCCTTTCTCATTTTCAATCCTTCTCCATTAGCAATGCGATCTGGTAACTAAGAGCGCAGGTTGACAGTTCCACCAGAATGGCCATAGCGCTGCTGGTGACGGTCAGACGACGTTCAGACCAATGCAAAAATATACCCATGGAGGAGACGAATCTTCTCCAACAAGAATCACCTTCAAATTACAATCCAGCGATCACTGTTGGGAGTGATTCAGATCGTTCCAATTGATGTAATCTACACCTCAAGATCTACCTAATACTACAAAATCACAACATTCTATCTTACCATTTGAGAGATCTGCTCAAGCGATTTTGGGGGGAGAATCACCAAAATCGCCTCTCAACTCAAACGGAGTTTCGCCGACAATAACTGAGATTCAGGGGAAACAAATCACTATGCTGGAATCCCCTCATCCCAGCGCACTCAATTATGTAAGTAAAATCGATATGAATAGAGGTTGTAATTATGGCGAAGATTCAGGTGAACTAGCCGGAGCTCACGATATGAACAGAGGTTGTAATCGTTGGAGAAGGAGGAATTTTTCGTCAAAATTAACCTTCTAATGCGCCTAGAGGAGGTGATAACACCTCCCATGATAGGTCAGCACTTAGGTGTGTATAAATTAGAGAAATATAAAGTTCAGGTGGGTAATAGGACACCCGTAAAGTTGGAGTGTGTAGTTGGGATTTCGGGTATAGGTTGGGGGGGTTTTTAGACCATTTTCTCTTTAAGTTTTGTTAATATTCTTGTAAAATTTATTATAGATGACCCAATTTTTTCTTCAAATACAAAAACTAAATTATATCCGAAAAAAATAGTTTTAATTTTTTTTCTTTACATTAAGGAATGAAAGAAAAAATAAAATAAGAATAAGAAACTCCAATAATAGATAATACAAAAAGTACAAAAAAATAATTATAGTACCGAAAAAAATTTAAAATATACCTTGAAATTTGCTAGAAAAATCATATATACCCCTAAATATTTTTAAAAAGAAATCAAAAGTCAAAAATATAACTTTAAAACTATTTTTTTCACTTCCGCTAAATGAAGGGTATATGTGAGCTCATTTTGTAACGGTAGGGGTATATGTGAGTCGTTTGTATAACGATAAGGGTATATATGAGCCACTTTCATAACGAGGGGCATATCAGCTCCAAATAGCAAAGTTGAGGGGTATATCAGACCCTTTTCCCTAAAATAAATTGTTAAAATATTTATGGTAATCATCATTAATGTCATGTACATATCAAATTTTACGTATCTAAAAAAAATTGTATCAAAGTGGTGCCTATCAATTATGGACAACTTCACAAGAAAATGATATTGGTTATAAGGTGTCATATGGATTGGTTGGACTGAATTTAGACAGGTCAAAATGAGTTGAAACATTTATTAATGGGTTGATTATTGACCCGTCTATGTGACTAGGCAAAATGCTGGTAATAACTCAACTCATTCAATTTTTATTAAGTTTTAATTATTTTATTTTTTCAGTTATAACATTTTAGTACCAATTTTTTTATCTCTATATTACGGCTACATATGACATATTAACTAAAAAATATATAAATATATAGACAAAAAAATTTATGAGTCAATCTGGGCTACATATTAAATCAATTTTCAATGGATTGAACTAGGTTGAAATGAGTTAACAAATGGGCCAGTTTTTCTTGAATGGATTGGGCTTGATTTTGTGTTTGTCTTCTTAACTTTTTTTTTTTTTTTGGTTAAATTGATTAACAAATAATGCATTCTTTTGTTATAATACATATTAAGATCTAAATGTGAAATGTCAGTATACATATATAACAATAACTCACTATAGAAAACATGGAATTTTTAGACAAACACTACCGCAAATCACCATAACGAGGTTAAACTGTATTATAGATAATTGTGTTTGTGTTTTTTTTTCCTCACAACGATGTTTGATCTTAGTATTGAGACCGACTAAATTCAAATTTTCTTTATAGGATCATTTCTATTAGCGGAAACATTAATGTTACCTTTCACATGTAGAATAGTTAAATTGGTATTTTAAACATGGAAAGGGAAATAAAAAATTATATTTACCCGCTTTCAAAGGAAACCTTTATTCTTGCAAAGAATATTTAGAATTTTGATCTATTATGGAACATCGGAATAGAATTCTATAAATGCAACATCAACTTTTACATAATAAGTATGCTTCATCTTTATAATTCATCCGTTTAAGCCTAACACTTGTTGGTCAAATTTTTCAACCATACAAAATTTCAAATTCATCATCTTGAAAAATATGCTTCCTGATAAGAAAGCTCCCTAGAGAAGAACAAATTCCTAAATGAAAGAACATAAAAATTAAAATCAATGGTCATGGAATTTAGAATTCTGAGTGAGTCCCAGGGCGGGGCATACCAAAAATATTTTTTAAGTGTAAAGTAAAGGCAAGTTCCATAGGGCATAAGCCCCTGACATAAAAATGTATGCTTCGAGCTTAATTTTGATTGTTATTATTTCAAAAGTATTTTTTGCTATAAATCATATTTTTTATTATTGGTGTAATGATAATATCATTTTGTGTATTATGAGTATCTTCTTTAATGCACTTTTTCAACCTATGTATAAATACTACTTGCATTTAGTTATACACTCTATTTAGTATTAAGGTATGTATAATTTATAGATAGAAATTCATGATATTAGTAATGCAACGAGTTTTAAAGCATGTATTAGCATGGTTAAAGACACAAGTGTCCCTCAAAACCTTTTACATACTTTCCACCATAGTTGCGGAGGTATTTTTGTAAATAAAAAAAATTAGAAAGATTGAACACATTATTTTGATAAAGATAAGTATTAAAAACACCCCTCAACTTTGCGCGAATTATTGGTATCATCCCTGAATAATTGATAGCTTAAAAACACCCCTATACTTGGCGAGCTAATTAAGCTTAACTACACTCTCCCATTTCATACACAATAATGTGTCATTCACGCGCTACACGTGAAAATTTTAAACTAATGTGGCTTATATATATAATTCTAAAAATAAAAATAGAGGGATTTTGTTATTTCTTTAATTAAAAAATATTAACATAAAATAAATTTTAAAAAGAGGGGTTTTGTCTCCAATCTCTTCCCAACCAAAAAATTTCAACCTATTTCCCCTCTCTTCCTACCAAAAGCTTTCTCCAATCTCACAACATAACCCTTTGATTTCCATGGAAATCAAAGGGTTTTAAGCTTAAAACATTTATTAAAGTATTGGTAAGGATCTGCTTTTCTTTATTTTGTTAGGGTTTTGTTCGCGTTAGTCTTAAGGATTAAATTTCAATTTGAAATTTTTTAGGGCTTCATTTACCAGAACAAACATTGCATAAGAAATAATATTAGCATAACCAATACAAACATAACTAATATATCATATTCACACGCTATCTTATACACCCCACATAACGATCCTATATGTTTTGTGGATAATATCTCTAGTAGGTTTTTCACACAATTAAAACCTATTTAAGGACAACTTCCAAGCATTTTCTCACCACATTCTTTCCACAACATTAATTTTGCTACATCGAAAAGAAAAAATATGAGTGTGAAAGGCAAGTTGACTGCTTCAGTAGAAGTGAAGTGTGATGGACATTTGATTTATGATCTTTTTCACTCTAATACTCATCATGTACCCAACATTAGTCCTAGTAGGGTCAATCATTTTGAAATTCATCAAGGTGGAATCATAAAAGTTGGTTCGATAGTAAGCTGGAAATATTACGCTGGTAACACAACTTTCTTCACTCTCTCTCATATTGTATGTATGTATGAAAATACGTGCGTGTTTTTTTACTTAAATGTGTGTTTGGTCTTTTTCAAAAGTAATAAAATAAGAAGTTTTTTGACGGTGTTTGATTACCACAAACTATTTTGCATCAGAAAAAAGAAGGGAAAAATGATAAATATGCCCCCGAATTATTATAAATGGTATGTAGATACCCTCCGTTATACTTTTGGGACATTGGTCCCCCTGCTATCCAAAAACTAGAGAATATATACCCTTTATACTAACGGAAATACACGTGTCATAATCTTATCCACCAACCCGACATTTATTAAATATCAGATCGAGGGATAAGATTGTGACACATGTTCCTATTTAGTCTTCCGTTAGAGTGAATGACATATATGTTCTAGTTTTTGGACGGCATGGGCACCAATATCCCAAAAGTATGACGGAGGGTATCTGCATACCATATACGATAGTTCGAAGGTATATTTATCATTTTTCCCAAAAAAAAAAAATAACTCCTTCCACATGCATGTGGGGCATGAGTTAATTTTTAACAAGTTATTAAATATTTGGTAATAAAAAATGAACATCAAATAATTTTTGGAGAAAATTAGGAAGAACAAAATAGACAAGATGAAGGTATAATTATTTTCTGAATGCTTTATTTTTTATTGGGAAAAAGGACAAATATACCTCAAATTAACGTAAATGGTATACAGATACCCTCCGTTGTACTTTTGGGGCATTGGTACCCCTACTGTTCAAAAACTAGAGCATATATACTCTTCACTCTAACGGAAGACTAAATATGGACACGTGGCGCAATCTTATCAGTTGATCCAATATTTAATAAATGTTGGGTCGGTGGATAAGATTATGACACGTGTATGTCCGTTAGTATAAAGGTATTTATGTTCTAGTTTTTGGACGGCAGGGGCATCAATGTCCCAAAAGTATGACACAAGATATCTGCATACCATTTACGATAGTTCGGGAATATATTTATCCCTTTTCCCCATTTTTTTTTATTAATGAGGAATTGGACAGGTGAATTAAGAGCTAACAACTCTTCTATTTTCTTATTGTAATGATTATAGATGGAAAATTGAAGATTGTTAAGGAAGTTATTGAAGCGGTCGATAATAAGAAAAAATCAATTACCTGGAAAGTGATTGAAGGAGATCTGTTGGAGTTGTACAACTCCTTTACTATCATCTCATCTTTTGAACTTCAGTGGACTACATGTACATTAGCATATGAGAAGAAAACCGCAGCCACCCCAGACCCTCTCGCTTTCTTGGGTTATTTCATTGAATTGACTAAAGATATCGAGGATCACTTTCTCAAAAAATAAAAAAATTGATGTCCAATTACCCTATACAAATATGTGTGTTTGTGCTTGTGTGATGAAAATTTACAATATTGTCTAGTTCTAGCTAGCATATGATATAATTCAATAAATAATATTGTGTTTGAAAACACGTTACATATGCTACTCGATAGCTATGAGATATCTTTCTATGGATGTATTTCTAATGATTGCTATATGTAGTTAAGATATAATGAATGTTGCCAAGTTACTGGCTATTTTCCTTCCTTTTCAATTTTATAGTTTTTTTTACTTGGTGTTTTGTGTTCATATCAAAGTTTTTGATAAAATTTGGATCACACCGTTTGAGGGTGGCGCTCTCAACTTTAGAGTTCTGTATAAATAATATTAAAAAAACTACATAATTATACATTTCACTACCATATTTACTATTATTACATTTTCTTTCAAAATATTACGTATGTTACCACTAATTAAGAGTTTCCTACCATATATTGAGGAAGATACACTTAAATACATGAATTTATGCTACCAGATAACTAAAATAGGAAGAGAGGCTAGCGAGATCATGTATCCCAGATACATGTGAATCACACTAGATATATGTATCTATATGTATGTGACGTGATTCACATGTGTTTGAGTTACCAGATACATGCGAGATTGGCGAGCGAAATGGGAGAGAGGCGAGCGAGATTTGTTATGTATCCTAGATACATGCGAATCCACTTGACTACAATGTATCTAGAACAAATTTGACCCCATGTATCTTGAGATACATGTATATCTGAATGTAATTGAATGTATCTGGATGCACAAAAAATAAAATACGTAATATTGCAAATTAGATCGTATATCTAAATAATTAGATCATAAACTAGTGGGATGTATGTAAGTTCCTCAATAATATTTACTTAAGGCATTTCCTATAATATATGTCCACTGTTTTGATGCGTTAAGACAAATAATATTTAGAATTTAGATAATACTTAAATAAAGAAATATTATTCACCTTGATATACTTTTCTTACACTTAGCAGCTTTATAAACATTATTTAGTAAGCTTAATTTAGTGCATTATATTGTTTTAAAATTTTGAGTTACTTTTTCTATTTTGTTTTTGTTTTTTTTTCACTACCACACTATGATTTATTTACAAAAAATAGTAACGTCATGTACCTAGAAATCCTATAACCGCAAGTGTGTGGTGAGAAAATCGAACCAATATTATAATTGATGTAGAAATACAAAAATTATATAGAGTTTGTAAATTAGTTGAATAATGTATTTTCTATAGAAATAAAAAAAATCACGTGTTTTTTAAAATTAACAGCTTCTTTGGATAATTATTGTTATTACGTATTATTTCATAATATATTATATTTATATGATATAGTATTGAATTGTACTATATTGTTTGAATGGATCTATTGTTAGAATAGATGGTATAATTTTCCGATGTTACATCACAAATATGAGGGTCTGGCGCCGACTGAAAAATGATTTCTCCATAAGATTAGAAAATTAAAGTCATTTTTCGATTAACTTAAGAAAATGGGTTCTTTAAAAAAATTAATATTCTAAATATTTTGATTAACTAAATATTTAATTAAATAAAATCAATATATTTCTTGCATACCTTACACAACCCTAAATCAATACTCATAAGGAATCTCCATTAGTCCCCGCATTACCATAAGGGAAACAAAAAAAGAAAAAAAGAAGATGCAAAAAAGAATGAGAATATCATATTAATACATATTTATTGTAGTTATAATTGCATTCATAGATGGAGGCTCACATACATAATATATATCTTTCAAACAATATTATTTATTTCAGTGGATAGCTAGAACTAGCCAATATTATCAAATATCAGCAACACACACACTATATATATATATTATTGTTATTGTTGTTGTTATTATTTTATTTCATGAGAAGGTGATCCTCTACATGTTTGGTCAGCTCTATGAAAGCACCTAAGAGAGTGAGGGGTTCTGGAGTATCTTCATTCTTCTTCTCGTAGATAAGTGTTGTTGTAGCCCATTCATGTTCATTGGATGTAATAATAGTAAAGGAATTATACAATTCTAACACGTCTCCTCCGATCACTTTCCAGGTTATTGACTTCTCATGATGATCGATGGCTTCAATCACTTCCTTAAGCAACTTTTCTTTCCCATCTATAATCATTAAAATAAAAAAATAAAAATGTTACCACAAACTCAAACGTTTAATTCCTTATAAAGGATCTAACTATCCACAAAATAATACCATCATCTTATTTATTTTGTTTTCCCTCATTTTTCATTTTCCTAAGATCTATCTTAGGCTTGAGAAGCTTGGACTGATCATAGGGTTCTTTAATTTAATGGAAATTTTTAGTGCTAATAATTAGTAATATTTAAGTTTTAGTTAGAGAGAGTAAAATAAAGTAAAAAATTAAAATATTTTAATTAAAGAAATAACTTTCACCCACAAGTGAAATAAATTACTTTCAAATATGATACAAAACATTTTACTTGGAATATATTAATGGTAATTAATCAAACAACGTCAAATAACTTTTTCACGAAAAATAATTTTCTTGAAAAATGATTTCCATTATACGAAATACATCTATATAGAAAATTGATGAAAGCAAATCATGCATAATGAGAGAGAGAGTGTGAGAGATTGAAAGCGTAAAAGTGTATGTTACCTTCAATATATTTCCAGCTAACGACCGCACCAACTTTAAAGATTTCACCTTCGTGAATCTCAACATGGTTGACTAATGGACATATGTTGCGTATATGATAAGTGTTGGTATGATACATATCATGAATCGAGTGTCCTCCACACTTTACCTCTACTGAAGTAACCAACTTGCCCTTCAAACCCATATTTCTTTTTGGTAGGTATAGCAATTAGAGATGTGAAAAGAAAGTGGTGATAAAATATTTGGACCTTATAGTCTTTATATAGATTTAAATTAGTTGTTAAAAGCTACCTAGTTTGAAATTAATAAACCAATCCTTGCTTCTTAGATATGTGTAAATAAGAATAAATTTGAAAAATTAAAATAAAATATCTTATTCCCTTTTTTTACTTTTACTTGTCACGGTTTGACTTGACACATCTATTAAAAAATAATTAATGATATATATATATATATATTACCAAACTATCTCCTATTAAATGATATTTTAGAAAATGATTTGGATAATAAATATTTAATGCTGAGAATAAACATAAAAAAATTTATTGTCTTTACTTGATATATCAAAAGTGACAAATAAAAATGAGAATTTATTTTAAAAATAAATTATAAGTAAAAATGAACGGAGAGTACTAATTATATAATAACACCTTATTAATAATGACGGGAAGGATATAAAATATAACTTTTCAATAATACACTACTAAACTTTGAAAAGAGTGAAATTTGATTGAATAGTTGGTGCAATAAATGCTTAACCTTTTTTTTTTAGGCATTTTACGAAATCCTATCATATATGTTTAAATAAGAGTTAAGAGTGGCTCAATTGAGATTTAAGTTGGTGGCTTAAAATTAACTTTCATTAAATAAGGCTTTAATAAATACTCCCCCGTCCCCTGTCCCATACTAAAAATAATTGTCCTATTATCAGTTGTCCATTTTAGAAAGTATTAATTACGTTCTCTATTCAACATAGTTGTTCATTATACTAAAAACAGATGTCCAATAATATTTTGTCAATTTAGAAAATCAAAAGATAATTTACTTTTTGTATCTATTTTATCCTTGATATTAAATATTATTTATTATTTATTATCTAACACATTTTTCAATTCATTAAATTTAATAAAGTCAAAAGGATAATATAGTAATATTATCCCTATGTTTCTTAAGGGGAGTGTCAAGTCAATAGTGGGCAACTTTTTTTTTTTTAGTGGACAACTATTATTGGATAGAGGGAATAATTTTTTCTATATTATTCTTGCAATTAATTATTTTTTTTAAAAAAAGTGTTCACATTTATTTATGAAATTTTCAAAAAAAATTTTAAGGGACGAATTAGCTAAATTATCTTTTAGTTTATTATTTCCCATCAAACACAATTTGTTTCTCATCAAAATACTTTTTTAAAAAAATTAAATTAATTTTTAAATTTAGCCGAACAGACTAGAAGAAATCTAGGATTTAAAGAGTATTTGACTTTCTTGGCCAATTTATATAATAATTTTAATTATTTAACTTTTTTGGCCAAGTTATGGTCATATCTATTTGTATTGGCTCGTGCCTATTGTGTGAAGAGACTATGGTCAATGGAAGATGTCACGTTTTAGCCACAATAATAAAAAATAAATTACACTGTTTTTTTAATTTTTAGGAATATTTTAATATGAAAATATAAATTTATACTTTATGAAAATGTTATTTGTCTTGAAAAGCAAAAATTAAAAACTAACACCAAATAGAAACAAAAGCGCCGATGACCCAAAATAATATCCGTTTTCAAACTTTGCAAAATATGATTAATATATGTCTCTTTTATTAATAAGAAAAAAAAATATTATACTCAATAATCTTAAGAATAGATAGTCTTGAAATTTATTTTTCACCTCTACTTGTCCCATGAACAAACTTTCAAAATTACAAGGAAAAACTTATTAAATTTTAAGTTATTAAATAATTCAGAGCAGGAGCGGATCTAAAAGGTAGAAAAGACCTAAATAGGGACGGCTCAATAACTTTGTTGGCCTTAAATTTTCTTTAAAAATTGTAATGACTTTTTTCGATACATTGATAGTATAGTCAAATGTAATTTTGTAACGATCCATTTGGTCTTTTTGAGTACTAGAGCTTTTTATTTCATAAAATACTTTCGATAGATTTTAAATGTGTATTTTGGACTATTCGTAATTACAATTATGAAATTAGTAGGGGTAGTTTTAATAACTTATAGAGTTGGTGGTTAAAGAAAATAACATTAAAATTAGTAGTGGGTCACCTTTATCATTTTTATAATTGGTTATATTATAATTAGGGTAAAGAAATAATCTGTAAAAGAAAGAAAAGAAAAAAAATCAACCGAGTGAATTCTTACCTGCGGCTTCGAAGAGAAACAGCGAATAAGGTAATATTCTAAAATGTAGAATTCTGGTATTGATTTATATCACAGTTTGATTATTATTATTATTGCTATGATGTTGATTGTAAAGAGAAGTAAATAAATTTAATGGCTAATGATTGGCTTACTGGTGGTTTGAATACTATCTGGGTATTGTTGTTATGCAATATTAGTATTATATTGAATTGGAAAAGGATGATATTCATTAAATGCTAGCAAATTGAATTACAGTGGATTGAGGGATTTAAGTATTATTATAACGTAAGTCAATTACGAAGAATTAAAGTTATAGTTTGTTGCAGCTTGTGGACGTATTCTTTTAGTTTATTGTTAATAAATGGTAAGAATAATATGAGTGTTTATAGAGTCGTTAACTTACAAATTATGCATATATATTTGATAGATTGAAAAGGTTCGGAGGCATTGAGGAAAGAAAACGTATTGGAAAAGTAGCTTGCTTGACTTCGGTTCTTCGGTGGAGGTAGGTTATGGTTTATTCTATTTGATAGATAGACTCCTAATAGTGATTGATATACATTGAATGATATTGTGAAGTTCTCTATGTACTTGATTGCGTGATTGTGTAGCTTGGTTGTGTGGTTTGTGATTGGTCTGAAATCTCGAGACCGTGGAGTTTATAATCTTGAATCCTCTCTATCGAAGTGATGCCTTGAATAAAGAACGATTGATGAAATATTGTTAATGAATTGAAAAGTGGTGATAATAAATGATAAATTAATGATATTATTGGATCGGAGTGTCACGTTCCGACACGGTATAATTGGATCGGAGTGTCACGTTCCGACACGGTAACATTAAAGGAAAAACATGTTGAATTAACTGAATGTACTCAACCTCAAAGAACCCATTTCCCAAACAAGCGTGGTGTGGAGGCATGAGTCCTTGTGTGTGTGCTTGATATTGTGATTGATTACGTACTTGTTTCAGTTGTCACTTGTTCATGTTGTTTGTTGCTTATTCATCTGCTAAGTGCTATAGTTGATTTTATACTATTACTTTATGCATATTAGTTACTATTTTGAGTTGACCGATGATATCTACTCAATACATGTTGCCCTGTACTGAGCCCTACTCGTGTTTTTCTTTGTTTTCCTTTTATGGAGTGCAACGAGTGTACCAGCGACTTTGACTTGCCCTCAGCTCTAGCCAGTCTCAGCATATCAGGTTCAAGGGTGAGCTATTCATTAGAGCTTGTGTTGGATTTTCTTGGTCATGATCTGATGTCCTTAGTTTTCGGACACAAATTACTTTATTCTTTTATTTTGGTGTATTTGATACTCTTAGACTTAGTATTTGGAGATTAGATGTCCTTGATGTGCTGACTTTTAGATTTTGGGATAATAAGTGTTAGACTTTAGAGGTTTATTTGATTGGTTATTTTAATAAGTTTTGAGCTTACGCATTATTGTTGTTATTCGTTTTCAAACTTTGCAAAATATGATTAATAAATGTCTCTTTTATTAATAGGAAAAAAAAAATTATACTTAATAATCTTAAGAATAGATAGTCTTGAAATTTAATGTTCACCTCTACATGTCCCATGAACAAACTTTCAAAATTACAAGGAAAAACTTATTAATTTTTTAAGTAATTAAATAATTCAGAGTAGGAGCGGATCTAAAAGGTAGAAAAGAGGTTCACCTAAATAGGAACGGCTCAATAACTATGTTGGCCTTAAATTTTCTTTAAAAATTGTAATAACTTTTTTCGATACATTGATAGTATAGTCAAATGTAATTTAATCACTCATTGAATATTGATAATCTAAATTAAGATTTTATCCAACTTTAATTTTAAAAACTTTTTCGTAGGTTGATGCTACTGTAAACATTATTTTATAAAAACAATATAATCATTTAGAAAAGATCTAAGTCTTTCACTAATCAAACTCATCCTTTCGAGTTGTCATATTTAAATTCTATAATAATAATAGTATACTTAAAAGACCAATATATACCTATCAAATAAATAAAATAATAAAAATGTGATTCAAGAAAGTGAAAACTTTTTTGAAACTCCAATATATTTATTACAATTATTTTAATGCATGATATAATTTTTGCAAATATATTTTTAGATATTATATTATAATCAAATTTTAAACTCTTAAGAGATATCAAAAAAAAAGAAAAGAGAAATATAAAAATATAAGTATACACAGTGAGAAAAGATAAACAAGAAAAAAAAGAGATTTTGGGCTCTCGGAGAAAACTTGAAAGGAAACAATATATAAAGAAAAGTATAGTTTTTTTATTTTATTTTTTACTCGGTATTTTGTTGTCGCACCCCGAGCCTACACTCTGGACGTGGCTGGCACTCGGAGACCATTGCTGGCCCCAAGCGAACCCTTGGCCTGGCTTACTAACTCAGCGGAAGACTTAACTCATCACATACACATTTATGAAGTAACTAGAATGTTATAAAGGAACATTCAACTGGCCATTTAGGCAAACTCAAGTCTTTAACATATGAAATGAAAAGTAAAGACAACTGAATTAACTAACTGATTGTCTGACTATCTATGAAGCCTCTAAACAACTGAGATGGATGTTGGGACAAAACCCCACAACATCCAAATAAATA